GCAGGAGGGGGCAGGGAGAGCAGAGGGGCAAGAGAAGATGTGCATTTAGGGCAAGGGCTCAATTAGGGGTAACAGGGATTATGGCCCTTGCCCCCACGCTCCACAGGTACCGGATGTCACTTACTTGCTGGGGCACCCCAGGCCCTCCCAGCAGGTAGTGCCATGATGCAGCTCAGCAGTGAAACCAGTGCCTGACCTGGCCCCTTGGCCTCTGGAGGTCAGACTAGGAGATGACGGCCAGAGTGGAAAATTGGAAAGGTGGACGGAGGACCCCTTCCCCACTGCTGTGCAAGAGCATTGGGCAGCTTGGCCTCCCTGCTCTTCACCTGGGAGCAGGATTCTTTCCGGTCATCCTCTCCAAGTAGACCTCTAAGTACCTGTTTTCCTGCTGCCTCAGAGCTGAGTCTCCTTCATCTCTGAAACTGCAAGACCGCACTATTACAGCACTTGCTTATCGCTTGAGAATCCTGGGTCTGGCTGTGTCTGAGGGTTACACAGGCTCCAGTCCAGAGTCCATCTATACACCATGTCCTCTGGGGAGATCCAGGGAAACCATAGCTCTGACCTCGCCAAGACTCTTGGAGAAACCCGATGCAGGTGTGTGAGACCTACAGGCCTCTCACCATCTTGTCCTCCTTCCACACCCCTCACACTGGAGCTCGGGGGGCCCTCTCCCACTCTGACCCACCCCCCAGTCCAGCTCCTCTCCTGGAGACCCCCTCCCCTCACTGTTCTCCATCCCCATGTCCATGTCTTTGAGTCCTTTCCTTCCTTCAGAACCAACCTGAAGACTACCTCCTCTGTGATGTGCTTGCATCCCCCCAACCTGGTGGAGTGCCTCCTTCCTCTGAGCTCTCAGAGCATCTTACCTGCACCTCTTGTGTGGCATTCACCTCCTTCTAACTGATTCTCCATCCTTGGTCTCTCCACTGGTCAAGAGGCAATTTGAAGGCAGCATTCCTATCTGATTTCTTTTAGAATCCCTTAGAGATCTAAAGTAGGATCCAGTGGATAGACATGAGAGGTGTATGTGAATGAAAATCCTTTCAGTAGATGCTTTTCAAGGTCATAATGAAAGATGCCTCTCAGGGGCAAGTGCCAGGTGCCAACAGCTGACCAGACATGTCAGGTGGGTTCGTGTGTTGCCCACACCTCATGCACAGTCATCCAGCCCAGGTGTCCCAGAACAGGCTTTGGGGATCCTCCACTGGGCATGCATCTTTCCACACTCAGCCAACCACCAACCCTCTTCACATATCTGTCCTAACGGGGCTTGTGACCCCATCATGGGCAGTGTGGCCTGAGGGCACTGTAGGGTTGGCCATGAGTATAACAGACTCAGTCGTTTCCTCTTTAGAACTGACCAGATTGAGACCATCTAGGTGTGACTTTCAAATGAGGACTGTTTGTGAGTGAGCAGATTTCACCTGACAGGTGAAGGCATAGATGGAGTTACTGTACACAAACGCATATTTAGATAAAAGTTTGCCTTTGATTTTAAGTCTTCCTCCCACCAGAGACAGTAATTCTTCTCTGACCCCAGCATCTAACCCTTCTGCGTGTGGAGCAGAGGTCATCTGCTCATGGGCACAGTGAGGGCTTCTACCCCTGTGGCCGTTCACTCACTGACTGACTACTCTGCTTTAAGTCTCTATAGATTTGCCTGTTTTAAATGTTTCATATAAATGAAAAAAATGTATGTGAATAGGGTCATGAGGTCTTTAATTACTGTCTGGCTTCTTTAACTTAGTATAAAGGGTTTTTTTTTCCATTTATTTTTATTTGGAGGCCAACCATTTCACAACATTGCAGTGGGTTTTGTCATACATTGACATGAATCAGCCATGGAGTTACATGTATTCCCCATCCCGATCCCCCCTCCCACCTCCCTCTCCACCCGATTCCTCTGGGTCTTCCCAGTGCACCAGGCCCGAGCACTTGTCTCATGCATCCCACTTGGGCTGGTGATCTGTTTCAATATAGATAATGTTCATGCTGTTCTCTCAAAACATCCCACCCTCGCCTTCTCCCACAGAGTCCAAAAGTCTGTTCTATACATCTGTGTCTCTTTTTCTGTTTTGCATATAGGGTTATCATTACCATCTTTCTAAATTCCATATATATGTGTTAGTATACTGTAATGGTCTTTATCTTTCTGGCTTACTTCACTCTGTATAATGGGCTCCAGTTTCATCCATCTCATTAGAACTGATTCAAATGAATTCTTTTTAATGGCTGAGTAATATTCCAT